GGAGATCTCTGTGGAATGGTGTGTTTGGTGATGCTCGGAGTTACGTTTCTGTCCTAAGCTTGAAATGTGCCAAAGTACAAATTGTGTGGGAGTTATATTCTGATTCCCTTGAGCAGAAGAGTGTAAAAATTAAGCAGTTTGTTTATTTATGTGCATCAAATCAGAACACATACAAGTGATGTTTTTGCCAAATATCAGTTACATAGAAGTAATAGCAGTATAACCTCTCATTTTCTGCGTTTTATCACACAATTCTTATTTCTCGTCAAATTTACTGCTCTGTTTCAAGGGGTGGGCTGAAAGCAGGCAAATATTTTTAAATAGCATTTTTTTTAAATTTCCTATCATACTGAAAAGTAAACAGAAACTACTTGACCCTGTGTACTTCATAAAGTGATTGTTTATACTGGTGCCATTGTTCTCCAGTTATCAGAATGTTGTGTGTAACTGTTTATATGTAGTTCTTTGCATGTATATGTGTGCACATACATATGTGTATGGAGGCACAAAAACACACAAACGGCTGGGTTTAAATCTTTCAAAACAACTGTGATTTTTGTCATAAAGAAAGGAAATCATTACATATTTCTTTACAAAGAACATGTTTGTAATAGGCTGTTTGTGATGTAACACATCTAAAATCCACTTCATGTGTAGGGATCAACTAATGTGAGGAAGCTTGATGTTTCAGTTTCTTGGTTCTGGGCAGCAAGCATGCTTGAAGATTCTGAGTTTCTAACAATTTTACCACTTCAAGCAGCTACAGTGATGATCTTTTTCACTATTACCCATCTCAAGTTATTTCTGCAAGGCATAGGAGGGCAGAGCAAAGTACATATTGCCACCTTAAATCCCTTGTGGTTTTTTGTTTGCTTGTTGGAGAGACTCTGAAAGCCACCATCATTGTTCTTACAGCATCAGTTCGCCTGTTATTGTCATAGGTGCCAGTGTGGCACCTTTCTGAACCTTCTAATTTTTTCTTGCTATGCCTGTAGATTGTACTTCAAAATAAAGAAGCTTTAAGAATTTTCTAGGAAATAACTACCCTAAAAAAAATTACTCTGTAATCTTTTCAGACGGGAGAAATAGATTGAGCTCTAGATACGTTTCACAAGATGTAATCGACCTTGTAGCTCATTTTTGAACTTTACCTGCTGGGTTGTTTGGTGGGTTTTGTTTTTGTTGTTTTTTGTGTGTGTTTTTTTGAGTGAGTTCCAGAATTAACCTCAAGTATTTGTGGTTTCAATTGCTCGTGTGTGAACACAGTCAGATATCCATAGTCTTAGTCAGGATATCTGTTGTTTAATTCTTCTTGGCACAATATCTTGAATTTGTAATATTCAGCGAAGTATCTGTAATAAACCCTGAATAAATATGCTAAGTGCTGGCCAGGAAGCATTTCAAAGAGTTGGATGAATCTGAAATACAGAATCCAACAGGTATCATTTTTGTCTGGAATGCTAGTAGCTTATATAGATACAAAATGGAAAAAAGCGTCGTCTCCTGTGTTGGGGGAAAAAAGATAACTTTCACCATAAAAAATGGCACTGCCAAATTTCTGTTCAAGTGCTGAAGTGAGGCTAGTGCAGATCATGGAAGGTGGTTAGAGGTAAATATTCTGGTGACCTTCTAATTTTCTGCATTTCAGAAAAGGCAGGTAGATATGTAACAGGATCACCAAGTCACTGGTGTCAATAATGAGGGTCTGGACCTCTTCAGTTATTGGAAAACAGTCATGAAAGTGACTCCTTGATGGATGTGTCCCAACTAAATGCCAAGGTAAATGACTTCTGGATTCCAGGACAGCAAGCCCAGTACAAACTAAGAACAAGAAATAAGTTGAAAGTTTGGGAAAAATACACAAAAATGTATTTTGCTTGTCCTCCCTGGCAGAAGAAGTCATAAGGAAATAGGTGAGTGGTACATAAATGACAGAAAGAAAGGACAACATTGAACCAATAGTTAGGTAAGTGGGCAAGCTTTGTCTTCAGTACTAAGTCTGTAGAAAATGTCACCACTCTTAATCATTTTTTACTATTCATCAGCTGCCCATTGCTCCCCACAGCCAAGCCATGTGATGTTCCCAGTTCCGCTTCAGGCAAAACTGACTGCATTAGCATGCATCACTGGTGATAAAACGGTAATGAAAAGGAGGGAAGGGAAACTGCCTCCTTCAGCTGGAACATCTGTTTGCAGAGTGGATGTCTGTGATCTTAATGAAAGGGCACTGTATCGGTTTCAAAAGAGACCTGCCGTATTCATAGGCCAAAGCACAGAGCCAAGAAAAAATGACTAGAACTACTGGATCAGGTGAAGAAAGCCAATGGTACACGGTAAATTTATTGTTTGGGCATGTCACACAAACCGGGGAGAGGTAATGGTTGGAAGTGTAAAACAATTCAGAAAGAACAGTAGGTGTTTAGGAACCTGTAGGCTGGCTAGAGCCCTGTGGGACCTCAAATCTAAAACCCTTCTATAGCAGGTAAATGTACAGTGCATAATTCAAGTCACAAATTGCTCTCCATTTTAATCCATTGTGTCTTTTGTTTTTGTAATCTCTTCATTGGAAGCCTGTTCTAGAATTTCATGTCGTTTGGGACATCTTATTTTAAACTTCATTTATTAACATTTTTAAAGCTATAATCATTCTTCTTAGTAAAAGAAATGTGTAAGAATTGAAGTGAAAGCAAAGCTCAGATTTGAATATGCTTGTATCAGAACGCTGTTGTTATCTGGCCACTAGTGCTGAAACTTCAGTGGGAAAAGTATTGCAGGTGGCTATGATCCTACTTCATTGAACTCAGCTGTTTATAATTTTCACAACAAATTTCAGTGGAAAAAGTCATTAGAAATGAAGATGTAGGTGAGAGATGTGAAAAAACACAAAGAATTTACTACTTTGAGACGGTGTCACACTAATGTAGTATTGTTCTAGTGATTTTATTGAGGATACAGAGACAAATATACTCTTCTTTGTGTAAGTTCTAGCTTACAATCATCCCCGTCTTGAGATTTTTTCCAGTTGGTTCCTAAGTAGGAAATATGGAAAGGATAAAGCCATATTAACTCATCTGAAGCAGTGCTGCCAATATTTACTGCATGTGTTATCCAGCTCACCTTCTGAGTCATCTAATAGTAACTTGATCTTTGAGGAGTGGTGCGGGATGGACTCAATAAATGTACCAGTTGTTGAGGGGGAGAGAGGAATCAGGAACAGTGAGTGCAGTCGTCTAAATATTGAGAAAAATGGTTTGTCAAACTGTTTTTATGTATCTACAAGGTATCAACAGATGAATAATTGCCAGCATGGGCTTGTCAAGAACAAATAATCACAAACTAAGTTTAATTTCTCTATGTTAAAATAGCAGAACCTGCAAGTAGAACCAGAGGAGTAGCTGCCATTTGCTTTGACTTTACTTAAAGGCCTTAATTAGTCTTCTGTGATATTTTCACAAGTAATGCAGAGAAGTGTGGTCTAGGAGAAACTTAGGTACAGTAAGTGCAAAAATGGTTGGATTAGTTTTGCTATTAATTGTTAATGACTTTCTCTCAAAATGAAAAGATACATTTAATAGAGTTTCTTTGGAAACCTGCCTGGAGTCTTGTTCTTCTTTCTGTTTTTTACCTAATGATCTTGGTGACAGAGAATAGCTGGGATCATTGTGCAGATAACACAGAACAGGGCAGGGGCTGTACCGGAGAACAAGGTCACATTCCAAAATGATCCTGAAAAGCTGGAAGAATAATCTGCAAACCAATAGATGAATCTCAGTGGAGATAAGGAAACATTTACTTCTGGTAAATCATAGCAGTCCTCCAAAAAAAGATTATTTTGATGCATTATGCATTATTTTGATTTGATAGCACTTTACTGATCAGAGGGTGATCCTTCCACTGGAATCTATGGATAAGAGTGTAGCTGGTAAAATGAGCGGAGTCAGCCTTGTCTTCAGTCAGTGTTATGGGGGACTCTGCTGGAGCAGTGGACTCCACGTGAGCAACCCCTTCCAGGGAAGGCTGGGACTCCTCAGAGTCTGGACAAAGGCTGTGTGGGTGAACAGAAGTGTAGAGAACATCCCTGGGAGAAAGAGTAAACGTTCAGTTCTTCAGTCTACAGAGAAGACGACGTAGGCATTCTAATATGTAAAAGGCTGTCGCAGGAAAAATAGAGACATAGTCTGTTGTGCCAGCAGTGACCATGATAAGTAATGTGAGGGTTCAGAATGCTAGGAGTTACTCAAAGGAAATCTTAGAAAGAACTTTCTGAAAGTCAGGTTCATGGAGTAGTGAAACATTTGATGAGCTTTTGAATTTTTATCATCGCAGGGCTTTGACGAGCTGATTAAACAAATTTGTAGCTATAGTTTTTTCCCATACTTGGGAGTATTGTGGAAATGTATTAAAAATTATATTTGTTTTAGAAAAATAGAGATTAAGGAAACTTGTGGATGCATGGCTGTATGGAATGGGCATATTCAATCTGAGGCCAGATAACTTCAGCAGTTATTTGTATGTACTACTCTGCATTAATTGATCTTCCTTGAGAAGGAAAAGGAAACTTTTTCTTCATGGTAACAAAAAAAAAAAAAAAAAAAGTTTGTCCAGTCTGTAAAATCTTTTTTCTTTCAGGAAGATTCTTACCATATTGGATTTGAATGGATTCAGATGTAATATATGTGATTCAAGAGACATTTTATTTTGAAATACCTTTTTATTTAGTGCTAGGAAGTTACATTTTAGCAGTTGATGACTTCAGATTAATTTTTGACTATGTGTTAGTGCTTGTTAGCTTTCAAGCAGAAGTCTGTCACTCACCTTTCTCTGATTTCAACTTTAAGAGAAAATGGCTGTCAAGATTATATTATTCTCCTAGCACTCACTACTTTCTCCATTCCATTGGGGATGGTCGTCTGTGTTTTTGCTGTAATCCATATATACAGAAAAAAGCTCCATATAGCTTAATTAAAAAATTCATTGCCATTTTGTTTGACAAAAAGCTAAACAATGCATTAAGCTGAATTGTCCATTACATTTCTATTTAAGACATTGTAATTACATGAAAGATAGCATTACCAGTAAGAACAAAATTTATCATAGGAGAGTGCTAATGCATTTAGATGCAATGAGAGTAGGTTTAATTATAGTACATTTAGGATCGATATGCCCAGGGCAATAAACTTTACAACAACATACGAAGGTTTAATAAGCATGAAACATAAGAACAATGTAGGCTAAACCTTCCATGCATCTGAAAAGCTGAAATGCAAAGAAGTTTTTATTTATTGCCTCAGGTAAAAAAGTCTGCAGACACAGATAAGTGATGACAAAGCTTTGATGTTAATAAACCCAAATGGAAGTCAAAAATCAAAGTGTGTAAACGGCTAGGTTATAGAAAGAAAGATGACAGAGTTATACCCTGTAATTAGGTGTAATTTGTGCTTTTGGCACAGCTATTTGTCCTGCATGAATAAGAGGTTGTCTTATGTTTTCTTGTCCCTGTATAATAGAATTGCATTACAGGCACATCCCACTTCAAACCTCCCTTGATTTTTTTTTTTTTCCCAAGAACTATTTGAAAGGAGTGTGCATGTTGCTTCCTTTTTATGTGAGTGTTGCAGTTAGCTTGCCATTCCTGGTACTTGAAAATAATCATGAGCTCAGTGCTTATAAAACACTTGCAGTAAGAAACAGAGTAATAATTCTAGTAAAATGCAACCAACTCACAAAATGAGTTTCTGCCCTGAGTATAAATCAGAGATGCTTGCATGTTATACAAGTAAATTACATCAAAACTAGAAAATTAATAATCCAGTTTTAATTATTTAATGAGTTGTTCTGTTCAACAGCTGCATAATTGGTAGTCTCATCCATATTTTAAACTGTTGTGGAACAAATTGCTGTTAATTTTATTTAGTTGATTCCTGTCTTCGTTTTATGATGTCTATGCACGAGACATCAATTTTTCAGTGCTGAAACCTATTTTACAACCATCTTTCTGTCACGCACTGTGAATATTTAAACAGAAATAATACATTGTACTTTCTGTGTTACAAAGAAGCTGAAAAGATCTGTTGAGTCAGAGAAAAGTGCTAATTTACGTATGGCTATATATCTATACAGGTATCACTTCTTAAACTTCCCTCTTAGGGGATAATTTCCATATTTTTAGGCATGCTAAATTGTCTGTGCCTTTAATGGAACTACCACATGGTTGGCTACTGAGACATGGGTTTAATCTCTGCTGTGAAGTTCACAGTTGTCATTTGATGAGATGTGAAATCCCCTGCCAGAGCACCTTTTGCTTGGCCGCATTACACGTTTGAGGTTGTAAATCCATTATGTGCAATGTGAGAATTGACTGCTCCAGCAGTGCAAAGCCACTTGCCCAAGCTCATTTTCCTCACAGTCATGAAAATGCATGAAACAAAATTAAAATTAAAAAAAAAACTTATTTTTATCTTTACTTGAATATGATTTTCCTCTTTTTGCAGTGTCTACTGCTTTTTACTTGAAATTTGAGCCTGCCACGTTCATGAAATTCCCAAATGTGACCATGCCTGTGAACACTGTGGAGTGGTTACATGTCAGTGATCCCTGGTGGCACGAGGTGACATTCTGCCTCCTGGATGTGTCCTGTCTTCTATTAGATCCTTACAAGGATGTATGCTTATATTATGGTGCTTAAGTCTGTTCATTTCTTTTTCATTGTCTTTTCAGTTATGAAGGTTTTTTGCATGAATTCGACCTTGGAGGACAAACTCCCCGGTGGGGAAGGTTGCCCTTTCTTGTTTCAGGCATTTCCTTTCTGTTTGGGTTGAGCAGGCTGCAGTTTCCCTTCTGATGATGTCTGTTCATTCAGAAGTGAGGCATTCCTTCCTCCCAGCCCAGCACCATCCCTGCATTCTTACATGCCTCTCTTTCTCCCACTGTCATATCCAGTCCAGGAACTGCCTTGGGCTACACTGGGGAAGAGGATTTGCCAAGTCTGTAAGTATTTCTGCTGTTGAAGGAATAATCTTCTTGTTACAAAACCAGTTATGTAAGTATTTAATTTCAAAGGTCACATTTGGTAAGCTAAAGTGGTTGGCTAAAATTTCTGGAAGCCTACATGAGGTATTAAATTAAAAAAAAAAAAAAAAAAAAAGGCAAATCCCCAAACTGTATTTAAACTTTTGCCCATGCTGTCAGAACTTAAAATTAGCTTCAGAAGATTTAAGTGAAATCTGATACTTTTTGATATGATTCTACTGAAGTAATTTCAGATCTTATTTTGAGACTGAATGGGATTCAGTAGGATTCCAACAAACATAGAGAATGAATGTTATAGGAGTACAGCCTCCAGGAGAAATTCAGTAACAGTGCAGTGACCTGGTGGTTACAATTCTAGGTGCTTGTAGACGGATTGTCCTCATCGCTACAGGATTTCTGCAGCCTTAAAATATGAAGAATTCAGATCTTATATGCTGTGTATATTCAACAGGTGCCAAAAGGGTACATTTTTTTCTATCTCATCTGCAAAACCACTCTGTCCTTTAAATGCATTCTGATAATTTTTGATAGTATTTTGTTGGTGACACAGAGATGAGTATTTGTCATACAGTCTCCAGTCAGATCTCCAGGAGAACCCTAAGAGTAATACATGCCGATCAGTTACTTAAAGGCTTTTTGTTTTCCTCTTTTGCTCCCACTGAGACACGCTTTTTGATTTGATCTGTAGCTTTAAGCTGTGTTTTCTATCTGCAGTGGAATGAAAAGATTTGATCTGTACTTCTCTGCTAAGTCAAGTGGGAGATCTGTGCTCCAATTGGTTTAGCTCATTATCTTTTTTCCTGCTGACATTGTGAGCTAAGCATTCCCAGACAGACTTGTTTAAATCTGTTTCTTGGGCTCAGATATATGGTAACAATTGTCTCTATTCTTGATGTGCCAGTGCTTGTTAAGAATTAACACGATTTTGGAGTTACTGGCACCACTCTTTCCTAGCAAGTTGACAACTCATGTGCAGCTATCAAAATCAAGGCTGAATTTTCTGAAGCCTGCCGTCTGTAATCATGGAAACGTACTTTAGCTTAGAGGCTGGTATTTCCCTCTCCATGTTTCTGGTCATTATTTGCTTTCCTCTTTCACTTCCACATTATAATAATTTAAAACCTTTCTAGATCTGTGTCAGCAGAGGCTCTTGCTCGGGTTCATTTTTCACCTGATGGACAGAAACAGAAGGACATGGAGTTCATCTCCAGGTACCATTCCTCTTCAACTCTTTGGGTCAAATTCAAATTCAGGTGTCTGGTGCATTTGACTATTGATTTTCCAGTTAATTGCCTGAATTCCTCATATTGTGAAGAGAAAAAAAGGGAGAGAGAGAAAGAGAAGGAAAAAAAAAGAAAAAAAAAATTCTTCTTAATTTTTCTTTTGGTTTTAAATAAATGAGTTTGTAAGATTTCTGCTTAGCTATGATACATATGGAACTTCTTTGCTTGATTTTTGAGTGGAATTATTTTTTGTTTTCTGAGTGGAGGATTTTCTGTTTTCTTTGTTATCTAAAATGTGCGGCAGAAAGTAGAAGCATACCTTGGGATTACTTCTGCTGTTTGGAGAAAAAAAAAAAAAAAAAAAAAGATCATATATTTATCTACATATACAGCTGTCAAATTTTCTAATGTTTTTTTTTCCTAAATTTGGACTTACACAGTATGGTAGTAACTCTATCTGTGGTAGTATACTCTATCAATACTGATTATTTCCACTGTCCATTTCCTCTGCTGAAGTACTGCAACTTGCTAAGAACAAGGAAAGTGCCTTAAGGTGAAAGGAGAATTGGTCTTCATGTATTCAGATTTGACACTTCAGTCACTATTAGAAAGAAAAAATGTGTGTGTAAGATTAATTCAAATGTGTAGTTAAAATATTTTTTCGTACTAGTTGTGAAATGTATGTAGAGATGAAAATAGAATAATGGGTAAGTTATTATCCTTTTTCAAATATTTTGCTGTAATTATTTTAGATTTATAGATAGAAAAATATTTTTTTTTTACTTGCTCCCTCTCGGAAGTCTAAATCAGTTAGAGTAAATCACCACCTCTTTGTGGTGGTCTGTTTTTTCTTGAGTTGTTAATTTGAAGGATGTCAAAGTCTTGGCTTTGTCTGAAAGTGTAATAACATCTTCCTTTGAGAATGTACGGGGATGTTATGATCTGGAAATGGCAGCGGGCAGGTTTGTGGTCTTTCAAGCTCTTCTGTTCCAAATGATAATTACTCTTGTTCTACGTGGCAGTTTGAGAAAGCTGCTAGGTCCGTGGCTGCTATTCTAATACAAATCTGTTCCCACTGAAAGGTGATGATAGTTCCAAATTAAATGTACTTAGGTAATTGCATTGAACAGTTGGGGGCTGCAGTCCTCTCTTAGAGTAAGGCATGATGGTATTTGTTCTTGAGGAAGCCTCAGTTGCTTTCAGCTCAAAGAGTTTTATGGTGGATGCTTGAAGAGTCTGATTACAGAGGTTTAGTGCACTTACAAGTTGCAATTCAGCAGTAACTTTTACCATTTCATGTAACTGTAGATTTAATAAGTAAAATTTAATGTCTGGAGGTAACATTCAGACTTTTATTTAGTTTTCTTTGCTTTTTTGTCTTTGGTGTATCATCTTTCCTATGACTCTACTGACATAGCACATGCTAGGTGTGCATTTCAGATTAAGTAGTAGAGAAAGCAGTAAAAGTTTTTTTGGGTATGGGTGCATTTGATCCTTGTAAAGTTCTAGGTATGTGCAATTGTACAGTTGATGTGTAGTAATATTTTCCTCAGTAATTTCTGAAGAAATCGAAACGGGGGGAGTAGACAAGAAAAAAAGCATTTCTGAAGCAATTTGGCAATCACACATTCATTAAGTTGGAAAAAACCTCTAAGATGAGCTCGTTCAGCCATCAGCCCATCAGCACCATGCCCACAAAACCATGTCCTGAAGTGCCAGATCTACACAGTTCTTGAACACCTCCAGGTATGATGATTCCACCAGCAGCCCATTCCAATACCTCAGCACTGTTTCTGAAAAATATTTTTTTCCTAATATTTTTATATTTATCTATAACTCTGTGTGTATGCTGATGCTTACCTACCAGAGCTTGCTGAAAAAAAAGGAAGAAACTTCCCCTAGAATTTCACTGTTGTCCCATTAACGTGTCTGACATGGAGGAGACACCCACAGAACTGAGGATAGGGCAGTGCAGTTGATTCACATTCTGAGCCTCTGGCTTTTCTGCTGAGAATGTTAATAAAAAGGCTATGTTTTCTTTGTTTAAATCAAAATTACTCTTTGACAATGGAAAAAAAAAAAACAAAAACAAAAACAACCCCTCCCCTTGTTTTAAAAGTAGAATTTTTTGTACAAAAATTGTACCACGTTTTATTGTATAGTATAACTTCACTTTCTCATACTTTGATAATACCATTTTCTGCTTCCAGATTGTGACACAGAATATAGTAAGAATTTACCCATAACATTCCTTTCAGGGACCTTTTATTTGTTTTGATTTTAAGTTCATTTTTTTCATCATTGCAGAAAGCAAGCATCTCTGTTCATCTCTGTCATTTCACCTATGTCTGTAATTCTGTGGTTTATATTCTTCTGTGTCTTTGGATAGGAGCCCAGTAAGTTCTCTTAAGAGTTTTTGCATCAGAGGTTATGATATTTAGGTCTTTTCTAAATCAGCTTTCCAAATAAGCCTTTTATTCAGTTACTAATATTTCTCAGTGTTAAGTTTGCCATAAGATTCTATTCTGCTTTTTAAAGCAGCAACTGTTTTTGTCCCTTTAAATGGAGTGAGAAGAGCATTATGTAAATGCTGTAGTTTTTAGCTCAAATTTCTGGGGTGCACCACAAAAAAAATTGTGTGTTTTCTGTGGCCATTGAAAATGTCCAAGAAAAGGATCTTGATGATTTCTAACTAACAAATGAGGGTTACTTACGGCAAGCCAGCACTGTTGAATTAGAAGCTATGTTTCCAAGCCTACTTGTAAGTCTTCACAAATCCTATCACAATGGAAGCCATGGAGTAACAAAAATATTGTGAGACAAATGCCTCCTGGGTGGCTAATTATTGGCATTCTTTCCTTTTTACTCAAAGGGAAGCTCTGTATTTTCCTTGTAAAATGCTGTCTGACTTGAGAGCAAGAATGCTGTGGGGTGGGGAGTTGGAATCTCTTCAGCGGTTCATTTGTGAAGGATTTCTTATTTATACTTTTATTTTATTGGGGGGGGAGGGAAGTTCTTATAAAGAAGTGTATTAAATCCTTACTGTCACAAAAGACTGTTTAATACCTTGGCATTCCCTATTAAAATATCATGTAAACAATTATTGCATTATTTGTGCTGGTTCATGGATGTTCCAGTTTGAAATAAATGTTGATTTCAGAGGAACAGTTAATACACAATCTTAATTTAACATACTTTGTTTAGATGAACTAATGGAGAGGGCTTCTCCATTTGTTATACTTTCAAGTGAACGCCCAAGCTTTTCTGCTGATTCAAAATACGAACTTATTGCATTATTGTTTGTTGTGCACTTGTTTGTGTAGAGGTTGCAATTATTTCCTGTATCAGCTCAATTATTAAATATTTCAGATGCCGTAATATTAATTAGAAAATGGCGGTGGTGTAATTACATACTGATCTTCATGGAAAGTGGCAGGTTCACAGAAGGAAAGAACAGAAGGCGGTCTGTGCCTTCCTGGGGCTGCCAGGAGGTGGCTGATTCTGTGGAAGCTTTTTCGTGAGTGTGGAAAACGAGATCCTCAAAGCTGAGACATATAGAGACACTGTAGAAAAAAAACTGCCTATAAGAGGTCAAAATTTGAGGGGAAAAAACCAGGTTGCTCCAAATTATGCTCTGTTTGTATTGAACATATAGGTCACTAAACCTTTTCTCTCTGTGTATTTCAGTGTAGCCACCCAGAGCTGGCTAGCTTCTGCTAGCGACCTGGTAGCTTCGTTGCTCCACAGAATCTGGGGAAAGATTGCTGGAGATGTGGACAGTGACTGTCCCTGGTACTACCTTGGTAGCCTTACTTTTTGTTTTTGGCGTTCTGCAATTGGGCAGTGCTTCCTAGGAGATTAGAAATTCATTATTGTGCATCTGTTGCTCCTCCTTTGTGAGAGCTGTCAGTCTGATGTTTCGACGGGGTAATGATTTGGGGGAAGAGAGTGGATTGATTGTTCAGGAAGGGAGAATCTGTTGGTTTCTGGCCATGCTGCAAACAGGTTTCGTTACATCATTTTCGCATCGAGATTTCTCTCCTCTCTGGCATCTGACACTAGGATGTAAAGTCTGCATGTGTTTCTCATGATTTTGCTGTATATTCACAGCTTCCAGGGAGCTTTTCGTTGTTACCTTTCCTAACCGGGGAAGGGAAGAAGAGGGTTGTTGTTGTTGTTTGTTTTTTTACTGCTTTATCACAAAATCCTAATGACACAAATCTGATCACAGCGCTGGCTCATTCAGAACTGAAGTGAGAGCTGTAACTCCTGGAGAGAAGCAGCTCACCTCACCAACAGAAAGCTGTTGCTGCAACCCAAACCTACTGCAGGCAGCTATTGGAAGTCTTTTCATTTTTATTTCCATATTTTTGGAATTAACGAATAAAAGGTTTAAAATGCAAAAGTAATTGAGTAGTTTAGTCACGGAGTGTAAAAGCAAAATTTCTATAAGCCCATTAGTGGCTCACAGTATTTAACAATTCATAATTAATTTCTTAGTTCATTTTTAAGGCTGTTAGGATTACTTTTTTCTCCTCTTTTAACAGTATGTATCAATGTGTGTGTCTATACATGTGTATAATATGTATATAAACAGAATTGCTTTTGCAAATTATTTCAGAGCATGTTTTAGTTAAGACTGATTCTTATTAATCTCAGAGCACTACTTCAAAATCAGTCAGACTTGTAATTTTTTATACATTAATAAAAATGAAATAGATTCTCTCATGTGTACTTAGTATAAATCCACTGGCTTCCCTTGAGATTTCTGATTTACACAAGCATCACATTGTTGACAAAGGGAAAAGCTGAGCAGAAGATAGCAAAAACTGGAGAAGATAGATGGAATGCAGTGAAAATGTCCTACACTTACCTTGAAGATGAAATACAAGAAAGCAAAAAGCTGAGAAAAATCAGGCTCCCTAGTCTTGGAATGCAGAATGTGGGGAAAGTACAAAGATGGCCTTGGAATTGACCCAGGCTATTTC